GAAAAGTCTATAAAGAACATCCACAATACAATCTCAAACAGACCATCCAAATTAAGTAAAAACAACAACAATAACACAATCCCCAAGGCGAGAGTTTTTCAATAACAAAAAGCCACTTAAGTTTCTCTCTCTTGTTTCAAATTTCTCTGACCTCTCTCTAGCTTTCCCACTCCATTCTCCAAGGGGAGCCGCCGGCTTCACCTCTGTGTGGCCGGCGGCAACCCAAATTGACTCTTCTAATTTTCAGTATGATGTTTCTTTTTTCCATCCCCTTAGTGGGCTTCTGCATTTCTTTCTTACTACTTCCCCTAAGTGGATTTTGCCATGAAACTTCTCTTACGAGATGTTTCCTTTTCCACATTTCTGATCTGTTCTCAGATCATGAAATCGTTCTCAGTGTTCAGAGGGAATTGCTTTGCAATTTACAGCTTTCTTGTTGACTTTTTGGTGCTCTCCTCCTTGCTTAACTCAAAATGGCGCAGTGATTCGGTGGCCTGGCTTGATGCCTTTGGTTCTACTGTCGACCTGGTGGTTGTAGGGATGTTCGGCTTTTCTTTGAGGTTTTGGTGCTCTGTCTTGTGGCTCGCTTTGCTTTGTGTGTCCGGGAGTCGTTGACGGGTTTGGATTTTGGAAGGTGTAGGTGTTGTTGTGTTTGTTGGGGATGTTGTTTGGGAGTTGGTTTTTGCAGGTTGGGTGGCTTCTTGTGGTTGTCTTCGCCCATCGCCGTGTGTTGCTGTTGGGGTTTTGGTGTTGGTGGCGGCGCACCGGTTCTTTGTTTGCTGGAGGGGGTGTGGGGGTGGCTTCTGAGGATGTGGGGGTGGCGGTCCGTTTTCTTCGGTGGTGGCAGGAGACTGTTTGTGGTGGCATGGATCTTCGGGGCGGTGGAGTTGTGTGGGTGTTGTGGTGGTTGTTGGCGATGTTTTCTCTCTTCCATTGTTGGGGTTGGTTGGTGGCTGTGTGGTGGGGTTTTCCGATGGCTTTGAGGTGGCGGTGCGGCAGTGTTGGTTGGTGGTTGTCTTGGATGATTGTTGCGATGTAGTGGTGTGTGTTTTTCCTTTGGGCTAGGGTTGCTGTTGTGCTTTGTTTCGGCTTGGTTGGCTTGTGTTTGGGCTTTTTACGTTTGTTTCTTGTGTGGGCTTGGGGATTGGTTTTCTTTTCTCTGCTCTTTCATGTAATTGGTTTGGTTGTTGGTTGTGGTGGGCTTCTTTTTCTCTTGGACTTGTCTTTCATCCTTCCTGGGCTTTGGTCCAACTCTGTAACACCTTCCTATTTCGTAATGAAATTGGACTTGTCAAAAAAAAAAAAAAACACAATCCCCAAGGCATAAACCATAATGCATGAATCAATACTCAAACATAATTCTCATATTGTTTACACCAAAAAATAATCTTTTACCACATTGATTATTTACAAGGCATTAACTGTTTTTATAAGGTCATATCAATAATAACAATTAATGTTATTTAAACTGGTCCTTATGGTACTAGATTTTTAAGCCCAAACCACTAAGTCTCCGAGAAGGAACTAATCTCGTCTCGTGGATAGAGACTCAGCTTGGTAAAACTCGGTGATAGCGAGTCCTCTAGACCACACTCGTCGCGAGTTTACTAGTTCATGCTCGTCCCGAGTTTGGTAGAACTCGGTGATCGCGACTCGCGAGTCCGCTACACCACACTCGTCGCGAGTTTGGTAAACCTCGATGGTCTCGAGATCTGGAACACGTCGTGAGTCTGCTAGACCATGTTGGTTGCGAGATCTAGAAGACCTTAGCCGTGAGATCTATACCATGTCCAAGATCTAAACTAACAAATTGGAAGTAAGAAGGCAAACTAAGTGGGAGAGGAAAGCCACAAACATACTAAGTCAGAGAGCTAGACCATGTTGACCTCAAGTCTAGTAGACCACGATGGTCGTGAGTGGGCATCGTCGCATCAAGTTTGGTAGGCCTCGTTGGTCATGAGATCTAGACACCACGTCGGTCATGAGATTTGGAAGACCCCCGTCTTGAGATATGGAACGGCCATGGTAAAGGGGAGGCAAGTAACAAGACGCCAGTTCCAAAAGAGAGAGCAGGCGGTTAACTAGGCAACTGCTGATTATCCCACGTTCAAGGACACGTAAGCCACGTCCGAGGAAGAAGAGGAGCAGTTCTTTTTGGAAGTTTCTCTCGGACGGTTTTTCTACGACGATTACCACCTCAAGGCTATAAATAAGAGGAGTTGATAGAGAAGGACTTTCCAAAACCAACACTTTGACACACATGTAAAGTTTATCATTTCCTTTTCTCTATCATGTAGCCATAGACGTAGTTTTTAGTTTGGAGCTCTCACTGAACCTCCATAGGAGTAGAGTAATTTAACTTTGACTTTCTCAACCATCAATCAAAGACCCCCGTTCGAACTTCGTTTGAAGAGGTGTGAGTCGTGTCTTAGTAATCTTTGACCAAAGAAGTTAAAAGTGCATTCAATTCGATTTCAATGCAAATTTTCTCGCCGGAAAACACAAATTAAGAAAGGCTAAATTACACGTTTGGTCACTCAAATTATACAAATCTTTCACGTTTTCTACCGAAATTACTTTTCTTTCTCATTCGCCATTAACTTTACGAAGTATTACATCGTTAGTCACCGACCGTCAGACTTCGTTAACTCCGTCAAATTTTTGATGACGTGGCAAACAGAACTTCTGACAAGAGTGTTAACTTAATGACATGTAATTAAAAAAAATATTACACCTCATTTCTCCCCGCACACTTTCTGTTCTCTTTCTTCTTCGCACGACAAACTCTCAACAGAAACGATGGCAGTCGCTCCAGTCCTCCGTCCTCCTCTAACTTCCTCTTCGTCTTCTTCCTTCGCGTCCCCAGGTCCTTGCCAGATTCCACGCAAATCTGGGGATCGAGGTGGCCTCGGAAATCTGCCGATGAATCGCTAGTCGCTACCTAAACAACAGATGGGAAAGCACATAGCTCAATTCGCCCAATGAGATAATGACCATGGTGGTGACATACAAAATCCACGGCTGAACAGTGGTGTCGTAAACCGAATTCGCCTACCTTATGTCTTCCACCGTGCTCGACCTCAACAGGCAATTCAATTCCAATTCAGCATCGCTGTATAGCTCTTCCCCAAAGGCGGCGGAGGATAGCTCCTTAACGACAGGACGCTGGGATCGTACAAATTGGAAGAGATGCAGCGGCGGACGGGAAGGAAGCACCGGCGATTGTGGATCTGGATCTGACAGTAGAGGTGTTGCGAAATAATAGGAATTTCGGAGATCAGGAGAAGATTCTGTTGGTGGTGAAGTGCGGCTGCAAGGAGGCGACAGTAATTATGTAGGGAGAGCGACACCGCAGAGAGATTGTTTCAGAAGATCGGTGCTAAGCTCGAGCTGTGGACTTGGAAACTCAAGTTGCAATGTAATTGCGGACAATTGTCTTTCTTGTTGGGAGGCGAACGGAGGACTGGTGAGGTGGACGAAGGCTGCAACCTGGCGGTGACCGTCATTCTTGTTGGGAGCAGGTGGTGCGAATTGGAAGAGGAATGAGAAGAGAAAGTGTGGCCGCAGATTTGAGAAGAGAATGAGGTGTAATATTTTTTTTTTAAAAAAATACATGTCATTAAGTTAACAGTCTAGTCAGCAGTTTTGTTTGTCACGTCATTAAAATCTGATGGAGTCTGACGGAGACTGAGGCCGGTGACTAATGGTGAAATGCTTCATAAAGTTAGTGGCGAATAAGAAAGAAAAGCAATTCCGGTGGCAAACGTGAAAACTTTGTATAATTTGAGTGACCATACGTGTAATTTAGACTATTAAGAAAACTTCAAACTATAATCCACTCCACATGCCTTCAATCCCTTGATAGCCACCTCAATCCTCCCCACTACATTCGTTTCAAAAATGCCATGTCTCTCATCCTCGTCATCAGTATCACTAAGATCTTCATCACCAGGTGCAATAGAAGATGAAGCTCTTCTATCAATAGCACTTCCAACTCCAGCAGTAGCAATTGAAGTATTTACATCCCATACCACAACTTTCAAAGCTAAAACAAACATAACAATTGAATGATAGGTTATAAAGTAAAGTTTTCAATAACAACTCAACAAATAATTAACAACAAAACATATAATTGTCAAGATCTTCCAACTCCTCCAAATGTTCGTCCTCAAGAGGTAGCGCTGAACTTGCAGAGTCCTGCTGTATCCACTGGATTGCGTAAAATACTTTATGCTAGAGTACATGGAAACGAGAGACTTGGTCTTAGGGAGTTTGAATGTTTCAACCAAGCACCTCTCGCAAAAGTGGTCTGGCAAATTTTTAAAGAACATATGAGTTAACTCTCTAGGATTTACTGAGGTTGGTACTTTGCTAAGGGGTTGTTTGGAGGATGGGATTACAAGTGAATGATTTAGCTAATACATGTAATGGGTAGATTCAGTCGTTTTTTTGGTTAAATTTGTTGAAGAATACATGTAATACCTTTAAATGGCCCCACCTACAATCACTCAATATGAGTGATTACAAATCTCTACTATAAGCTGAGATTAGGAATGAGTGATTGTTTGCCCATTTTTATGTTCCGTCATTGTCCCTTATAATTTTCAATTATTCCATGAGTACCCTCATCAACAACACTCTCTCACCTCCCACTTATCTGCTCGTGTAATTCCTAGAGAAGTAGAAAAATATTATGAGAACTCCTCCCCTGCTCCTCCATTCGACAATAGCACAACCCTAAAAAAAATATCCATCCTCGAATTTGAGGGTTTTCAAGCACTACGGAGCCAGACCCAACTCTCGTCGTTGAAAAATCCTCGACAATAGCCCGACCTAACTCTCGCCGCTGGAGACTTATCGGAACCGAACTCGACGCCGAGAATTGAAGGAGAAGTCGAACAGGTATGTCCCCAGTTTTAAACACTACCCATCTATTATTTCTCGTGTTGGGTACCATCTCTATTCCCTGGTTTGACAACCTTTTTGTCTAGCTGTAGATCATGGCAAGGTGCCTAAGGCAAAGGAAGAAGGCAATCATAGCCGCTGTTTCTATGTACTTGGACCTCCTGTTCAATTTTATGAAACTTGTTATGCAATATTATGACGCTGTTGAATCTGAACGTTTGGAAAGCATAGACCAGGGAACTGCTTGGGAGACACCAATTGCTAGACAGCTAGCTAGGAATTCTTTCATGAGATGTATCGTTTCCCACGGTGATATATCTTGCACTATGCTTGTTAGGATGAACTGTAGGACATTTCAGAAACTTTGTAATCTTCTTAGAGATGTGGGAGGTCTTAGGTGTAGTTGTTACCTTGAAATAGATGAGATGGTCGTCATCTTCCTTTACACCATAACCCATAACGAAAAGAATCGTCAGCTCCAAGTTACCTTTCGTCGTTTAGGGGAAACGATTTGTAGGGTCATTAAAATTGTTCTACATTCGGTTTTGAAACTGCACTCTGTTTTACTACGGAAACCGAAGCCTGTTCTAGAGAATTCAGATGATCCCAAATGGAAGTACTTCAAGGTATATGGTCTGTTACATGTGTGCATATTTGTTTCAGAATTTTGTAAACTTTTAAACTTTCTGTGTTTTTTTCCTTTTCTTATAGAATTGTCTTGGCGCACTTGATGGAACAATAGTGGAGGTACGTGCTACAAAAGAGAATCAAGAAAGGTACCGTACTCGCAAGGGAACGATTGGAATGAATGTCCTGGGAGTTGTTGATCAGAACATGGAATTCATTTACTGCTTGGCGGGCTGGGAAGGGTCTGCTCATGATGGGAGGGTTTTGAGCGACGCCCTTATTAGACCAAATGGTTTGAAGGTTCCTAGAGGTATGTCTGCTTTATTTATAGTGTTTGACTTGTAGCATATTATTCATGACTAAATCAATTTTGTTAATGCCTATTGTTGGAAATGCAGGTTTCTATTCATGACATTACAATAACTCTGATGAGTTCCAGGTTAAGGTCGCATACATTTTGGTGTTTCAGTCGGTTCGCTATTGCACTTCAAGGGCACGTGTTAATATGGTTGATCAGTCCATGTGGAAATGGCTTTGGTCCACCAAGCTTCCTTCAAAACTGATATTCTTCTTATGTCTATGCTTGCATAAGATTCTCTCAAAACATGAAGCTTTGACGTTGTGGGGGTTCGATATCATCCTTGTATGCTTGATATGTGGCACAAAAGAAGAGATGGGAAGCAAGGGAGGTTGAATGAGACAGGTTGGTCTTGAATCCTTCTTTTGAAGTGTTATTTGATGAGGCTACATTGAGGGAAGGCCATGGGCAGGGGCGGAGCTACACAAGGCCTAGGGGGCCTCGGCCCCCCGAGAATTTCGAAAATCACGAAAGAATATACGAGTATTCTGAAAATTACGAAGTAAATACAGGTTTTATAATAATGGCCGCGGGTTAAAAGGTAAATAAAGTAGCTGATTTACACTAGTGGAGCTTATAGTGGTTCTGTATCAAACAGGTCAGGGGTTCAATCTTCACCTATGTTAGTTTCTGTTGGAGTTTTTTACAATTTTATAGCTTTAATGGAAAAAATTTCCCCGATAAGTTTAACAAGAATGTCAATCTAATTATTTGACAAAACATCTCGTACATTTTGATAATTCACACAATTTATTTATTTATATAGTTATATAATTATTTTAATTTTTTTTTCTTATTACGATAATATACGAAACATTTCCGGCCCCCCAAACCCAAAATCCTAGCTTCGCCCCTGGCCATGGGACAGCTGGTTTTGTGTTACCGAATTGGTATAATGGCATCTTGGCAGCTTCAACTAACCTTTTTTTGTAGGGGATTAATGATCCCTTCGTGCTGAAGAGTTCGACTCTTCGTTACTGCCTTGAAGAATGTTTGCAGCATGGTTTATCTCAAATTTCTATGGGTTGTGATGTTAAGGCTCCCATTGAGAAATGTGATGCGCGAGACTCTAGCGATGAAAAAACACTTACATTCTTATTGAGATTTGTAGTTTGCTGGTCGGAAGTCAGATGAAGTTCGTTGGTCATAATGATAAAATAAATTTTCATTTGGTGACTCGTCATGCTCGAATTTGTCACCTCAAATGTTAGTTGTGTTGGAGTTTGTCGTTTGGTTGCATAGCAGGCTGCAAGAAGATTGGAATGTATAAAATTTGTTTCTTCTATAGAAGGATCTAATGGGAAGGGGGAAAAAAGAGCAGCGGCCAAGCTGTCCACCCCCCACAAACGTCGCCCTCTGTAGTCTGACCTCCTTCAGTTATTCCGGATCTGTAGCTGCTCTGGTTTATCATCCTCCTTTGAGTCCTTTGTCTTGTACTTGTCAGTCTAGGGTTTATCTGATTTTCTATGTGATAGTGGATTCCCTCCCTCCCAGTTTTAAACTTACAACCATTGTTTGTTCCCTCTTTCCTCCTCCTGGAATTAGGGTTCGGCAGCTGCTTCGCTATCTCGAGTTTCACTACTGGGAATTTATTTAGGGAGGGTTTCGCTCTCCCTATATTCCTCTCTTTTGCTCTTTCTCCCCTTCCTTCTCTCTATCCTCTTTAGCATTTCCGTTCCTCCATTCCGACGGGTTCTCATACCGTTCATACCATACCAGTGCCACCCTCGATGTCGATGATTCAAATCTATCCACAACTCTGCCCAGCCCACTCCTTCGTTTAGATTAGTTGGAACTCTCCTCTTCATCAATCCCAGCTGCAGCTGCTACCCCTCCCCCCTCCTCGTGATGATTGAGGGCAGGAGAATCTCGGCCAATCCCAGACCTTGCTCCGGTGGGAGGGTCTTGGCTAGGAAAAGGCCTCGCGTCGAAAGTCTCCTTAATACTGTCAAGAAGCTTCACCGCCGAGAGATTTCCTCCAAGCGGGATCGTGCTTTCACTATGAGCAATGCCCAGGAAAGATTTCGCAATATGCGTTTGATGGTAATCCCCACCCCTTTTCTTCTTCCCCGTTAGAGTTTCGTTTGAAACTCTAATTATCCTCTGCCAACATACTTAACTTACTGCTCTTGCATCTTAGTTACAGCGCTACCATGTGTTGTCAGTCTCCCGCTCAAATTCCTTGTGTTTTTACTTGAGCTCCATATCTGCTTCATAAATTCCACTTCATTCTATCTTGTTAGCTTCCCATGTGCTCCATCTTTATACATTAGTTTATAGTTTACAGTATTGTTCTCAGTCATTTCAATCTTCTCAGGATGAATATGACACCCATGACCCCAAAGGCCACTGCTCGATGGTACTTCCATTTTTGATGAAGAGAACAAAAGTGATAGAGATAGTGGCTGCTCGTGATATTGTATTTGCCCTTGCCCATTCGGGTGTCTGTGCAGCTTTTAGCAGAGGTAGGACAGTCTCGTCTTCCTTTCGCCACCATTCTTTTGTTCTCTTAACAAAGTTTTTGTTGCTTTCCTCCACTTTTAATGCAGAGACGAACCAGAGGATATGTTTTCTGAATGTGAGTCCTGATGAGGTCATTCGAAGCTTGTTTTATAACAAGAACAACGATTCTCTAATCACAGTTTCCGTTTATGCCTCGGACAACTTTAGCTCCTTGAAATGCAGATCAACAAGAATTGAGTGAGTCTCCAAGTTTTCTTGTTCTATTCTCCAGTTTGCTTCAATTCTTCATTTGGCTATTTGCTGCTGCGGAGTGTTCTAAATTTATCTATGCTATGCAACTGTTAGGTACATACGTAGAGGCAAGCCGGATGCCAGGTTTGCTCTTTTTGAGTCTGAGTCTTTGAAGTGGCCTGGATTTGTAGAATTTGATGATGTCAACGGAAAGGTGCTTACGTACTCTGCACAAGATAGGTAGCTCTACTCTCTGGCATCTGCTAAACTTGGCATTATCGCGATTATAAATTCTGACATCTGCTTTTGACATTCATGGCAGCATATATAAAGTGTTCGATCTTAAAAACTACACAATGCTGTACTCCATATCAGATAAACATGTACAAGAAATCAAGATAAGGTAATCCGTTTTTGCTTCCCACTTTCAAACCACTGCCTTAACTTGTTGAGAAGACGCATTCATAAAAGAAACAACTGCTGTGAGGTCACCTTGGGTGCCTGAAAAGCAGTAGGTTGAAGATGAGGAAGGTTCTATGTAGGTCATTGTTATCAAAAGCTCAACACTCTCGTCTGATTCTTTCCCATGTGATGCTAGACACTCAACTATGTCTTGGTAGTTGGTTCTAGGTGCCATGTGTCTTACAAGTCTCTTTGATGCTTGCTTTGCTGGATGCAGATATGCAACAAAACATGCCAAAAAACGAGATCCCTTAACAAATAATAGTAGATTGAAGATAAAAGAAGTGTAAAAGAAAAAGCTTCTTAGATTGTAGGCCAATTTCTTTTGTACTGACATTTCTTTGATTTAAAATAAGGAAATTCTGTAAACATTCATAACTAAATCAAAGCCCCAATAGTGTAAGGAAAGAGTATCACATCCTAGAGGGTTGACCTAGGATGATGGTGTATGACAACGTCTTACCCCCCACCTTAAGGTTGATATGTACCAACATCATGTATGAAAAGAAGACATCTTAGAATGCATCCCAGTTATGGCGAGGAGTGAGATATAAATCCTGCTAGATATAAACAAGGAAATATATTGAGCATGCGAATAAAAGGTTTTGTACGAACTATCACCACTGTTAAGCGAGCCGGCTATTGTATATGGGCATATGCATTGTGCTTCTCTATGGAAATCCCTCTGAGCCTTATTGTGCCTGCGTTGAGATTGAACTGAATGAGTACAAGAATTGGCAAATTATTTTCCCTTTGTTTTTCTGTCTTCGAGTGTATGTTTAACTGTCTTTGCGTATATTTGTTTGTATCAGTCCTGGGATTATGTTGTTGATTTTCAATAGAGCAAGTAGTCATGTTCCTCTTAAGATTTTATCAATTGAAGATGGCACAGTTCTCAAAGCATTCAATCATCTACTCCACCGAAACAAAAAGGTTGACTTCATTGAACAATTCAATGAAAAGCTTCTTGTCAAGCAGGAAAATGAAAACCTCCAAATTCTCGATGTAAGTTATGTTTATATTTATCACCATCTTGTTTGTATCCATCGTCCTCTTTTTTAAGTAAAGTTTCTCGTTTCTGCAGGTTCGGAATGCGGAGCTGATAGAAGTCAGTAGAACTGAATTCATGACACCGTCTGCCTTTATCTTCTTGTATGAGAACCAATTGTTCTTAACATTCAGAAATAGGACTGTCGCCGTCTGGAATTTCCGCGGGGAGCTTGTAACCTCTTTTGAGGACCACCTATTATGGCATCCTGACTGCAACACCAATAACATATATATAACAAGCGATCAGGATCTGATTATTTCCTACTGCAAGGCTGAATCTGATGATCAGTGGATGGAAGCAAACGGTACTTTCCTCTTCCCCCTATGAAAAGGAGCTTAGTAAAGGATATTTCCCCCCATTAAGTGCCTGAGAGTCTATTATTGGAAGAATGTAAAAGAAATAATTTGAACAAGTGGCAGTATGAAATGATAATGATGTGAGGTAGGGCACTAGTAATCTAAACTAAGAAAAATCATGTAAAAAAGGATGGTATTGGTCATTCAATGTTCACGTGACTGAGTGTTCCTGTTTAAACTATTTTGGATCCATTATCAATGCCTTGATATGCAACTTATTTGAATGTTTTGGTGCTAATGATCGTAATCAAGCAGGCGTCGGAACACCTTATTAGGGGGTGTTTGCTGTGGGAGTCCTCTGTCTCACATGTCCTGTTTGAGTCTTTCATTGTTGTCATGGATTTTTCGTATTCTCTGTTTAAATTATCTGGTGAGTTGTGGTGTGATTGTCCACCATGATGCTGATGTTGTTGCTGCAGCTGGGTCTATCAATGTCAGCAATATTTTGACAGTAAAATGTTTGGCTAAAATAAGGAAGGTATTGGTCATTCAATGTTCACGTGACTGAGTGTTCCTGTTTAAACTATTTTGGATCCAGTATCAATGCCTTGATATGCAACTTATTTGAATGTTTTGGTGCTAATGATCGTAATCAAGCAGGCGTCGGAACAACTTATTAGGGGGTGTTTGCTGTGGGAGTCCTCTGTTACATGTCCTGTTTGAGTCTTTCATTGTTGTCATGGATTTTTCGTATTCTCTGTTTAAATTCTCTGGTGAGTTGTGGTGTGATTGTCTCACCATGATGCTGATGTTGTTGCTGCAGCTGGGTCTATCTATGTCAGCAATATTTTGTCAGGAAAGTGTTTGGCTAAAATAAAGGATGGTATTGGTCATTCAATGTTCACGTGACTGAGTGTTCCTGATTAAACTATTTTGAATCCATTATCAATGCCTTGATATGCAACTTATTTGAATGTTTTGGTGCTAATGATCGTAATCAAGCAAGCGTCGGAACAACTTATTAGGGGGTGTTTGCTGTGGGAGTCCTCTGTAACATGTCCTGTTTGAGTCTTTCATTGTTGTCATGGATTTTTCGTATTCTCTGTTTAAATTCTCTGTTGAGTTGTGGGTGTGATTGTCTCACCATGATGCTGATGTTGTTGCTGCAGCTGGGTCTATCAATGTCAGCAATATTTTGACAGGAAAGTGTTTGGCTAAAATAAATGCCTCCAATGGCAGTCCAAAAGTCGTTGAGAGCTGTAGTGGTAGTGGTAGCAGTGGCGGCAGTACTAGCGGCTCAAAACAACTGAGTCACACGTCTATGAGAAGTACAGCAGCTGAGGCACTTGAAGATATAACTGCACTTTTCTATGACGAAGAACGCAATGAGATTTATACGGGCAACCGCCATGGCCTTGTTCATGTATGGTCTAACTGAATAATATGTTTGAGCCAAACTATGCGCTTCCTTTATCATTGTATCTGTAGCCTTTATATCAGCAGCCGAAGATGATGCTAGTATCCGATGCTGGTTCAGTTTTTTCTTCTTTTTTCACCCTTTAACTCTTGGCTTGGGGTGGTGGGGGAAGAGCATCGTAAATTCATTACTAGGTACCAACTACCATGTAATACCGCGTTGTATTCTTTTACTCTGATTTTGTATTTGTTTCTAACACTGGGAGCCTGGCTGTATTGTTCTGTGGGGGATAATAGAAGAATGGTTAGTAACGAATATATGTTGTGTTCTTGGTACTGAAATAAACATGCTTTCTAAAGTCCACGGTAATCTCAACTCCATCAGTTGTGATTGAGAAACTTAGAAATTATTGCTTTTTTCTTCTATGGATGAATGATAACACTCACAATTTTCATCTACCAATCTCGGAAAGATGGTCACCTTTCTATAAAGTATTCACTCATTTCATCAATATTTTGCGTTGTCAATATAACGCTCAAACAGACTTTCTATTAGTGACCAGTCTCATTTGCTGCATTAATGCAAGGCTAAACAATTTTTTTCACTGTGACCAGTTTCATTTGGAGTATACTTCTCAGTTCTCATGCCCAACATTCATGCACATATAGATATAACCACAAATGCAGGAGCATCCAATCCAAGTTTGTGGAGCTAATGGCCAACTAGTCTTGATGTTAGTGCTGAGTTAAAGCGTGCGTGATTAAAGTGAGAGAAACAATGGGGGACATTTAGTTTCCCTTCAATAACGAAAAATGATAAACAAACGCAGGACAAGACGCCAATGAACATGGCGAAAGGGCCATACTGGTCACTGATTCATAACACTACATAGTTGGTTCGCTTCAATCACCCTAGATAATGATGGTTAACAATGATTCGACCATCTGAACAGCTTGTTCTTTGCAATGAAGAAGCACATGCCCCATAACACATACAACTGGTAAAATCAGAAACTAGCGCGAGCAGGAAGAAACAACAATAAACCCAGTCCTCTAGGTTCTCTTTTAGTTAGAATTGCGATTTGTCAAGCAACTCAAAATAAGGATGATCCATTGCTGCTTTTGCTGATATTCTTTCGGCAGGGTTGTATTTAAGCATCTTCGGCAGAGAGAGAAAAAATTGGGCAACATTAGACCCCAAAATGTTGTCAGGCTATAAATGCAGCACACCTACCTAAAATGAGGTAAACGACGACCATAGATGATTAGAAGAAGTCGCATGTATGGAGGAGCTTTGGAGCTCAGGTCAAGGAAGACATTGGGAAGACAGTTAGGAACTGCTCTGGCTAAAACCAGCTGCATGCCTACATTTGCTACAATTAGCATATTATGGTGTTGAACTAGGATATCAATATGGACATGGTGTTGAAAGCACTTGTGTAGAATAGTTGGTTAGAAGAACTTGTACGCACCGATAGAAGGTCCAGCCCATCTGGACCAAGAGAAGGAACAGCACGGGCAAAGTTCTGTGGCTCCCATTGCGGGTACACATGCCAATCTCGAAGACTAGTTACTCCTGGCCAATCCTTTTCAGTTGGTGTTCCTAACAGCCTTGAAAGGACCCATAGAATGTACTTCAGAAAATGAAAAGGAAGGCAAGAAAGGGTCAAAGGCAGCAAGGAGGAGTACCTGAAAATGTGAAGCAGCTGTTGGAACTCTGAGTCGCCCGGAAACAGAGCTTGCCGTCTGACCATTTCAGCTGAAATAAAAACAAAAAAAAACACCGAAAGCCAGAAACAAGGGATGATTAGAGTAGGCAAAAAGAGCTCTATAAGAAATTTGAAAGAAAAAGAAGAGGAAGACGGAAGCGGACCAAAGATGCAGCCGACGGACCACATGTCAACGGCGGTGGAGTAATGAGTTGAACCGAGCAAGACCTCGGGTGCTCTGTACCAGAGAGTGACTATCTCGTGAGTGTAGCTCTTTAGAGGAACAGTGAAGGCGCGGCCGAGACCAAGGTCCGCGATCTTAAGGATGCCCTTATCCTGATCGAGGAGGAGATTCTGAGGTTTGAGATCGCGGTGGAGGACGCCATGGCTGTGGCAGTGAGCAACGCCCTTGCATAGCTGGAAGAGGAAGCTCTGGATGAGAGTTGGAGGGAGTGGCCTAGGGTTTGGGCCCTTGCGGTGGGAATCAATGAACTTCTTCAGATCCGTGTCTAAGTACTCGAACACCAGGTAGAGGTTTGATTTCCGATCAGGATCAGCAGTAGTGTTTCCCTTCTTAGCATCGTGGCGGCGGCGGTGGGTGAGGTCCTCGTCGTCGTCGTCCGTATGACCGCGTGAATTCGCGGCAGCGTCGACGTGTTCGACGGAAAGGAGTCGGACGACGTACAGTGATTGAGACAGCATCTGAAGCAAAGAGACTTCCCGGAGAGCAGTTGGAGGAATGCCTTCTTCGTCCATCTCCAGCCGCGTTTTCTTGAGAGCCACCAGTTGCCCCGTCGATTTGTCTTTCGCCTTGTAGACTTTTCCGTATGTGCCCTCCCCGACCTTTTCCAGCTTCTCATACTTCTCCATTCTAGTTTGCTTCTGTATCCAGTCGGTGATGAATGAATCGCAAACCACTGTAGCAACCCAATCAAACTAATAGAGCGCTGAGAACAGGAATCGCGAACCCCCCTCCCCCTCTCTTCAGACGTATTTCGAGATTTGAATAAATGAGTTGTTTCGTTTGGATGGGGAGCGGCAGAAGGACAGTTTCCGGCGGCGTGCTGGTTAGATCAGATCTCGGCATGTAGCAGCATGATCTTTGAAATTCAAAATTCATGTGCGGAGCAAATAAAGGGAACGAACCCAACAAAAGCAGAAAAATACGGTGGAGGGCCAGGGATGATAATCTATCTGGGCTTTCGGACTTTCTCCTGCCCAATTTTGAAGCTGGACCAGTTGATCGGGAATCACTTCTTTAGAAGTTTGGTTGGGTCATTCCCGGGCATGGATGCTGGGTCTAGGATACTGACTACTGAGTAATAAATCCGGGCCGTAGATCTAAGAGCGCAACTCATCGTGTGGTTGGCCAGACGCGGGGAAGGGAGGGTACTTTTGTCCATTTTTGAATTTTTTTTTTAATTTATCCAACATTTAATAGTTGGTTTTTCAACGAAGGAGAGAGAAATAATCTTGTCTATGCAACTCTTCTTTCTCTTTCTCTCTTCCTTCTCTCTTCCCTTTTCTCTCCCAATCTTCTTCTTCTGATATAGATTTGCTCCCTTCTCTTATTCTTCATTTTTTTACAGCAATCGACGAAAAACAATTGCAACCTTCCTCTTTCATTGCATTTCTTCTCTTCATCAAATCATTGGCCTCAATTCTGATCTTTCTCCTTTTTTGGCATTTTGGTATTCTTGATTGCAGAGAAGGAAATAAGAGGAGATAGAAGACGAGTTTTTTTTCTCTCCATCCTTCTGTTTTTTTTTCTTTTAGGCAATATATATTGATATACCACACTATACCATATGGTATTGGGTGGTAACGAAATATATATTGATATTACCACACTATACCATATGATATTGGGTGGTAACGAAATATATATTGATATTACCACACTATACCATATGGTATTGGGTGGTAACGAAATATATATTGATGTGGCAAATTCATACCATATGGTATGCTCTTATTTACTACCAGTCAATACCATATGGTACAGTCAATACCATATGGTATAGACGGGTAATAACTGAAAAATTCTTTTGTGTCAAAAAAATATCAAAGTGGATATCATTTTGAAGAGCACAATTAATCTGATCTAACTGTGCAAAAAAAAAATCCGACTTAAAACCATGGAGCAGGAAACCGGATCGTACCGGTCGGTTCAACCGGTTCAACCAGGAATCGGACCAAGAACGATACGGTAGGCTGGTTGGCATCAGAATCTCGTGTCGGCCGGTTTTTCCGACTTAACCGGTACAAAAGTAAATACCGTCCGGTTTTGGTCTAACCGGCGGTAGGCTTACTTCTATAGGTGTCAAAACATAGCCCGACCCGATTAACCCGCCCGATCAACCCGACCCGCAACCCGACCGCAACCCGAATTGACTTAAAGTCAACAACCCGTAACCCACCCGACCCGCAACCCGATTGACCCACAACCCAACTTACCCGCAACCAGATTAACCCGCAACCCAATTCATCCAATCCCGATTGACCCGCAACCCAACTGACCCGCAACCCGAACCCAATTGACCTGAACCCGACTAACCCGTAACCCGACCGACTTAACCCAAATTTCATCTAATCCACTTGAATAATTATAAAAATATACAATACATAGTTTTTCAAAATAAAGTTTTTCATTCTAAACTTAAGTAAAATTATTTTTTCATTTCGTATAAGAAATTTAAAAAATATGAAACTCACTTGATATTACGTATTTTAAGAAAATTGCCAAAATTGAAACATGAAGGTCACTTGAGATCATGACAATATTAATATAATATATAAATTAAAATTTTGGTTAATTTAACTATTCAATAAAATTATCAATTAAATATAAACAAAGTAAAGTAATGTATTTGGTAATTTGATGTTTTTAAAAGAAGAGGGAAATTTTGGTGTATTCAAGTTTTTGGGAAGAGAAAGAAGAGGAAAATTTGGTTCTTTGAATTTTTTTGGAAAAGAAACAAGTGGGAATTTTGGTGGTTTTGACATGTGAGAAGAGAAAGAAGTGGGAAAGTTTGATTCTTTTGATTATGAAAGAGAAATAAGGAGGGAAACTTTTTACTTTTCAACTTTTTGTAGAAGGAAAGAAGAGAGTAATTTGGTTCTTTCAATTTTATGGAAGAGAAAGTGGAGGGAAAATTGAGTTTTTCTAATGTATGGAAGGAGAAAGGAGGGAAATTTTAGTATTTTTGTGAAAAGAAAGAAGGAAACAAATTTGGTGTTTTTCAATTTTTTGATTTTTCATAATTTTAGCTTTTGAAATATGAATCTTTAACTTTTATATGGAGGGCATGACTAGTTAAAATTATTCTTATATGCTTTGAAGGCTAATATGTATATATGTATGTAATTGTTTATGGGCTAATAAATGAATTAACCATTAGTTACAACAATTTATACTAAACTTGATAAGTAATCTTTGACGGTTCGTTGTTTAGGATATAAAGTATATGGTTAGGGTATAAGGTATAAGGTACATATGGTTTATGGTGTATATGGTTAGGGTATAAGATATTGATGGTTTTGACGGTTCTAAGTTTTTTATTAACATATGTTCACTTGAAGTCATTTGAAGTCTTTAACGGCAGGAGATCCCTTTTTAATTTATGTTTATGGTACGTGGTTAGGGTACAAGGTATGTGGTGTAAAGTATAGGATATATGGTTAGGGTATAACAATTAGCAAATATCACTTTTTATCTATGTTTTGAAAATCAAAGTATGAATTTCACTTTTAAATTAACTATACTAGCAAAATCACAACTCAATGACATATGGTTAGGGTATAGGTTATGTGGTTAGTGTATAATGTATTGATGGTTTAGGGTATACAATCAACTACATATACTAACTTAATATTGTTGATTGAGGGTAAGGCTAAGTGTATAGGATATATGCTATTGAGTAAGTTATGATTGAAGTCACAATAATTTTACTAAATTTGATAGCTAATCTTTAATGGTTTAATTTTTAGGATAATTCGAACAATTTTACAAATAACTCGTTTGACAACAGTTTACTGAAGTTATTTGGGCAATGAGTTATTTTGAAATAACTCATTTTATCACTATGCTCTTGCCAATTACCACACACCAAATACCAGATTTGCATGGTTATACTAAACGAGATACTTTAATTCAATTGCTACTGAATTAATACTAAAATATCAAATAAACAATTAAAGGTGTCTTTTGGTTGCAAATATTGATATCACCATTACTATTAGCTATAATACTTTACTAATTATGATTAATTACATAACAAGTTTGCAAGTCATACAAATTGATTTAAAATTTTGACTAGTTTTTTTCAAAAAAATAAAGTATATATATACGAGGTAGAAATAAATTGGTTAAAAAGTTGAGAAAATATTTTAAATTAGTGTAATAAAATGTGTAAGTTGGTAATGAGTAATGAGTTAAGTTACTTGATGCGCTAGCCCGAACAACACGAAATCTGACCCGCCCGCAACCCGCCCGACCCAAAACCCGATGAACCCGCAAGCCGATTTGCCCGCAACCCGATTGAACCCGAACCCGATGAACCTGCAACCCGACTAACCCGCAACCTGTTTGAACCCGAACCCGATAAATTCGAATCCGATGAACCCACAACCCGACTAACCCGCAACCCGTTTGAACCCGAACCCGATTGAACCCAACCCGAACCCTTCCGAACTCGCCCGATTGACACCTATACTTACTTCAAGGAAAAACGTTGCCGTTTTTGGAGCTAAATTTTCTTTAAAAAAAAATAATCGGCTAGAGACCAAGAACCCCGAAAACCCTAATCTGGGTTTGGGAGCCCTTTCCTCCAGTCGTTTCTTTCTTCCCAACGCCTAGCCCGTCCGCCGCTCCTCCTCTTCTCCTCTGGCCGTCTGGCGACTGCGACCGGCAAGGCGGTGACCCAGGCGAAACCAAGGAGGAAACCCGCTCCGCCGCTCGTCTTCTCTGGCGATTGTCGCCCATCCCTGCCGCCACTCTTCTTCTCTACTACTCAGTTGACACCAGAACCACCACCATGTTCGTCGTTAGCAAGGTTCCCGGTGGCCCGCGGCCCTCTTTCTTCTCCTTTCCCACCATTGAGACCAAACCCAAAATAAAAGGGGTAAGAACCCCAATATTTACTTAAAATCAGAATCTGACAAGAAAAGATGAGCATGCATGCGTCCAAAACCTAACTAATTAGCGAAATTCTCATCCTTGTCGCCGTTAACGAGAGGGGAAGAAGCAGATCGAAAGCTTCCTTTCATCGTATTCTTTCTCCGAAGACGGGAAGAGACTGGAGAATAGAAAGATGACGACGATGAGATAGAAGGAGATTGGGATTGTTGGGCTGTCAAACATTGGCATCCTTTCTTTCTTTAATTTTGTTTTGCCTGGTTTCTAGAATGAAGGAAGAAAAGGGGGTTGAAGTTGGGAGAGTCAGAGAAGAGGGTAGGTAAGGAGGCGGCCAAAAAGAGGGAAGAGCAAATCAGGTTTAGGCTTTTTGTGGCTAGAAATAATTACCAACCCTCAGCATATTGACCCTTTTGCCCCTCGTATATCTCTTGAACCTTACCTCACTATTCTCTAAAAATGAGAAATGTAACAAAAAGAGTATGTATGGTGACCTCCAACTTGTATTTTTTTCATTTATTGTCCGGTATATCCCGATACATCCGGTATTATTCCGAAACGGTACTCTGATTTTGCCGACACGGTTTTTTGACAAAAAATATATTTTATTATTACAAAAACGGTATTTACCGGTACGAAACGGTTGAACCACAGTCGTACCACAAACTACCCTACCAGAAAAGAAATCCGATATGATGTCTGGTACGGTTTCCTTTACCATGCTTAAAACGAGTGAGAAATCGTCCGTTAAAGATTAAGGGAAGGAAAATTAAAGGTTTTTTCGACGAGAGAGAAGGAGGAGCTGATTTGGTCCGGTCAAAAGTCAGTGTCAGCAATGAATAGGGGATAAGTGCAATTTACATTACTGCCTTTTCACATTTAATTTAAATAAAAAAAGTGACCGACACGTGAGGACAGGAGAGGGGGGTTAATGATGGGTTACTCACCCATCAGTTACTGACTCGATCTGCTCCCATGAATGCTGGTCAACGATGTCGCTCTAAAAAGTAAAAAGTGCGGCACCAATGTCATTATTTCTTATTCGTCGGTTCAATTTTTTGTTTATCTTTTCAATGGTT